CACCTCCCTGCTATGTGGCTCCAGTGTTCAACAGAAACAAAAGACATAAATCAAACATGTCTTCATAACGAGATCTGATGTGTTCTGGGTTTTTCTTTCTATCCAGAGGGAAATTTTCATGAGTGTGTTTCTATTGTAGGTTCCAACAGCAGACGTGCACCATGGCTCAAGGCTGCCTCAAGTGTTTAAAGTACACCATGTGTGTCGCCAACTTCCTTTGTTTTGTACGTATGTCTCAATTGTTGGCCATACTGATGTTTGATCTGGGCGTGTTCAGTAGATTAGATCGATGATTTTTCGATCAGTGTGTGAGTGAATGAGTGAATGGGTGAATGAATGTAGTGTAAAGCTCTTTGGTCAAGTCTCCTGACTTGAATAGAGACGCTATATAAGTACAGGACATTTACCATTTTTACCATTCTGTTATCAGAGTCTCGGCTGCTTTTAAATCTCAGAAATATGATCAGCTTTAAAAGTCATAATAATCCACTTGCTGTATGAGGTTAACATGTGTCGTCTCTCCTCCCGTCAGATCTGTGGTGTGGCGCTTCTGGGTTTAGGTGTGTACCTGATGGTAAACTTCAACATGTCTGGTCTGACCCCTTCCCTGGCCCAGCTAAACATGCCCAGCATGCTGCTCATCAGCGGCATCATCATCACATGCATTTCCTTCGTGGGTTTCCTGGGGGCCCTAAAAGAAAACCGCTGCCTCCTCCTGACGGTAACGCACACACCCTGAAGTAAAGGTGGTTCTGAGGGATGTGAACAGGTAGTTTCTTCCTTGGAGTAAATGGGTTCCTTTAGGCCTTGACTTTATACAGATTCAAGTTACGTATTTAACTCTTAAAGAAAGAACCCAAACAAAGAAATTCCTGCTCCTCCAGGCCAGTGGACCTCTACTGGAGCTGGACAGTCTGTGGAGTTTCCCATCCAGCCTGACCTAGACGGGTTATAACTCAGTTTGGTTCAGGTCAGGCTCAATACTCTGTGGTCTAAAACATATTCGACCAATCACCACACAGGAGGTGGGCCTAATCTGTAACCATAACAGTCGAGATTGCAGTTACAAAGGAGCAATGCTTTCTTTATCATGTCCTGAATGGGCTGTTTATATTGTTAAAATTTAAAAAATGGCTGCTTTAGAGATTTTCTTTACCAAAAAAAATGTTTTTGTTTCACATCCACAGTTATCTGATTGCTTAAAATATAATACAAAGAAAATAATGTTAACAAAAGTAGAAATAATGAATGCTCTGCAGAGCCCTTAAGATGGCTTTAAAAATAAACATTTTAATATAGTCCTAGGGGCTTTCTGAGGGGGGAGATTTACAAGGAAGCCCCGCTGAATCCGACCATCATCCAGACAAAGCTCTGGATGAACCAAAGTGGATCTTTTTTTTCCAAAAAATGATGGTCAACCCAAAGGCAATTCAAACATTGTTCATAGAGAACAATTAAGCAGCAGTCCATGATGTTAAGGTTCACCTGTGCTTTTATTGTGAAATGCTGACAGCCAGACCTTGACAGGAAATAACATGGGGTTGCCAGGGGTAACAGAGGGTCCAAAGCATCTGGGAGGCTAATTATTTACTAAATATTAAACAATCATTACAGCCACTAAATAATGTGGCTGGATCTAATGTCCGACTGGTTGGACTGACCAAGGGCATGGAGGGAACGGGTCTAGTCCCTTTCATGGAGAGGTGGTTCCCCTCCTATCTCAATCTAACACCAAAATCTAGGAAGATCAAGGTTGACTGCCTTCACCACTACCCAGCACCAAGGCTGGGCCCTAACCAACGCGCTAGACCCGTCACCATGAAACATCCCAAGTTTGCTGATAAACAACAAGTGATGGCGGCAGCTTGGGCCTCGCTACAGAGCCAAATCAGCCAGCAGAATGAGAAAGAGTTTCCTTTTTCAACAATTATTCGGTGGCGTTGGCCACGAAACGTCAGGCTTTGAGGAGATGAAGGACTGTCTAAGGAGGAAGAATGTAGACTGTGCCCTTATTTACCCCTCCATACTGAAGCTGTCTGTCAACGGAGTGGTGAACAGATTTTACACACCAGAGGCAGCCGCGTCTTACGTGGAATAAGTAAACTTATTTTTCTTAAATCAAAACACTGCCAGCAATGCCTCCGTCCAGTGGGGAACACACAAAGCCTATGCCAGATGGCTGATTATGTAATAACTGAACTTTATTGATCTCACATTGGATAAATTCAGTCTCTGAATTTAACCCATCCCCTTGGGGAGCAGTGGGCTGCCATGGTGCGGTGCAGGGGGAGCAGTGGGCTGCCATGGTGCGGTGCAGGGGGAGCAGTG